GCCTCCACAAAAACCTCAACAGTTTGGTCCTATCTTTCAGCTAGAGTAGGATAAAGTCTTATTTGCACAGTGTTTGACTAATGTGAACTGTTTAGTTCAGCTCTTCGCTCTCGAATGAGGAGTAACCATTCAGGCTTTTTTAGAAGAACTAGTGCTGCATTTCTGAGCTGTCTTCCAGCTTCTGTCCTGCTCAGTGGATCGAGGGCTGAATGGGCAGCTGCTGTGTTCCCTCATCACAGCAAGTGACAGAACCTGCATGGCCTTACCTCCCCAGTATTGTCAAGCTGCCAACCTCATGTTTGGAGTGCCATGCTGCTGACCCAGGTGAGGATATGTCTAACACCCCTGGCTGTGCTTAGAAATTTGAAGTTGAAACTTTTGGAAGGGGGGCTCTGACTTTTGGTCCAGATCTCTAAATGAGACCATGCAAGACATGACTGCCCTGTGCATTTTGCAAGGAAAGAATTGAAACACTGTTCAGTTGCAGCTTTGTTTTCCCTTCAGGTTTGTACTTTTCTGGGCTGCATTGTATTAACGCTTTATTTTAAAAGCCCAGAACTGAAACAGACTAACTTTTCATTCCCTATGGCTTTCTTCTCATCTTCTCTGGCAAGATGAAAAGATGCATTTATAATACTGCTTTCTCAGGATGGAAAATTGTCAGGTGTTTTGTTTCAGGTATCATTAACTGTCTAGCAAAGACTTTTTCTTCTGTATTCTTGGTATGTATAGACTGACCTTTCTCTGAATCTAAAGGGATTCCCAAGGAAATCAAATGCACCTGTCACCTCTGTTCCTTTCCCAGCATGTTAAATTGTTTTGGTGCTCTGGGGCTCCTGTTGAGTGTGAGGAAGCATATTTGTATTTTTGTGTACTGGTGGATGGGCTGGTGCTGTGTTACTCTGCCTCACATGAGGCAGAATCCTTTGTGTTCTCCAGCAGTGCACTGGTAGCACTGGAGAGAGCACCAGTACAGTTCCAGTTTGGGGAATTTGAGAGCCAGGAGTGGGGCTGCCTTCACCAATGTATAAGGAAGGCCCAAGCATTTTTGCCATCAAAAGCATAAGCAAAATTTCCCTCTAATTATAAAGCATTTCCAGTACTGCAGCTGAGATGTCCCTTGCAAAAATCAACCTCCAGACCTGGTAGTTCACTTGCCAGGCTGAGGAAGGAAGGATTGGAGAAGGAGCTGCATCCTGACTTTGGCTGGTTGAGATGTCCCTGTTGTGGGGCCTGTCTTGCCTCTCAGATGACCCTGCAAGAGAGGGGGAGACACATAAGGGGAGTAGGATGGGGATAAGCCCCTCTTCTGGAAGGTGCTTGCAAGTGGCATCACCTCTTCCCTGCTTTCAGCTGTCTTCTTCAGAGCATGCTCCCATAGGGAATGCTGAGAACCAGCTCGCCAAAGAAAAATGCATCCAAGGCTTCTTCCCTCAATAGGAAGGGATCAAAATGTTAAAAAATGATCATGCTAACTGTGGCAGTAGGAAGGTGTACCTTGGTATGGAAAGAAGAATGAAATAATGTAGAGAGTAGATTTTTCCCAAAAGTTAACCACAATTTTCTCTTCTGCCATACTTGGAAAACCTAACACAGGGAGGTGCTAGCTCATAGTCTGACATGCCTAGGCACTGATACAATGGAAATAAATTAGAATTTACCTAATGGTAATCAAATGGATGTTCCTTAAGGGGGCTATGGTAGGGTGTCAGTATTCAGAACATTTCCTAGAATGGGATGGAACATGAATTTCAAAAACAGCATAGTAATTTGAAAGGATAATTTCTACTGAAAGTTAGTGGGGATGATGTTCCTAATTCAGGAACTCCAAAGCCCCATTTGGCTGTGTTATAACCCCAGCACATCACTTTTTCTCATATGTCATGGAGGCTGCAGGAATAGCCACATCAGGCTGTGGCAGACAGAGAGGGTGAAGCAGGAGGTACAGGGCTTGGGATGGGCAGCACAGCAGCTGCTGGCAAGGAAACTGAGCTGCTATGTGAGTACCACTCATCTTCCAAGTAAGATGAAGAGTTTTCTTTGAAAGTCAACAGCGTCATCAGTGGAATTGTCTGCTCAAAGCTACACAGACTTTTGCACCACACAGAACATCTGCACATCCACAAGCAGATGTTGGACTGTGCATCTGAAAATGGACAGCTCTTAGGCTGCTTTAGATCTATAGAAGGAATTGTCAGATTTATAGCACTCTGTCCAATTCCTGAAAAACTTAGCCCTGTTTATATCTGAACAGGGATTTGTGAGAAGCCAGAGCCCATTAGTACCCTTAAAGAAAAAAAGCAAGAGTGGGAGGTGCTGATGTTTCTTTGCACTTCTGTGAAGCTGAAATGCTGGATTTGTGCCACTGCCTCTTATGGCAAATTCATGTGTTTATCCAAGTGAGGACTTACATGATTTAGGGTTGTGTGTAAAGGGTGAGGCAATGTCAGGCAAACAAATTTCTGCAGTGGGAGGTCAGCGTGAGTCCCAACACCTGCGAGATGGTTCTCCATCCTCATTTCCAGCAGGCAAATAAATTCCAGAGCCAGACCTTTGCCAGCAATGTCATGTGATCTTGGGAAACACTTTCTAGACTGTTTGGAGGTTGCTTCCTCCACTTGACAACCCATAATTTTATATCTGAGGGGTGAAGAGATCCACAATTTTTAATGAGAGTTATGTTTCTTAGCAGCTTCAATGATTGCTCTGTAGAACTGTTGCTTTGAATAATGTATTACCCATTGCTCTATTTTTAACCCTGTAAATTATTCTCAGATGAGAAGCGATTTTTTTTTTTTCAGTAAAAAGGCAGAATCAGTAAAAAATGCTTCAGAAATCAGATGGGAACATTCTTTTATCCTGTCTGAATAGTGTGCAACTTGAAAGTTAGTTACAGGAGATCAAATTAATTTCTGATGTAACTTAATGGGAAGCCAGGTGCATAAATTGGAAAAGAAAATAAGAATAACATAATGAGAAAAGAACAGTTCTGGCACAACACCTCACCAAGGGATATGACTGGTGCCTTGGGTTGAATGTTGTTTGAAAGCACCATCAAAGGTAGATTAAAGTCAGGAGTATTGTGGGAGGAAATGGATAACCAGCACAGCAGGAGCAGTTACTCCAGGGGCTTTCTGCTGCTTATATGTGCACAGCTGGGGCCTCTAGGGATGGGGGTTATTTTGGAAGAGATGAAAGGTCGTGTCAAGTTGATTTAGTGCCTACAAATGCTGGTGGTATGTTGTTTAGTCCCTAATCTGTCAGGTAGAGAACAAGAGGCTTGTACTGTTTGTTCAACTGAAAAATGTGGGTTCCCCGCCACAACCACCAATTAAGAGCATTTCTAAGAATAGAAATTGAGCCTGATGTGCATGTTTAAAAAAACTTATTTGCACAATGAGGCTCAGGCTTCTCTGATTATAATATTTACTCAGAATGTCCTGAAACTTAAATCAGTTCTAGATTTCTGGTAAAAGATAATTTTTTATGCATTTAATTTCCATTTTGTGGCACAAAACTGAGTTATTTAGTGCATTACACACTACTAGGACAAGACACACAGTACAAAGAGCACCAGATACAGTAGTTCCTTGCAGTCTTGTAAAGTTCTATACAAAAAGGTACAAATACTGGAGGTATTAAATTTGGAAAACTAAATGCAAAGTTTTTTGGTTTTAAGTTTGCAGTGTGAAGTAGCCCATGCTCTATATAACATGGGAGGAAAAACCAGTCTGTTTTCAAAATGGAAAGTCTGCAGGGAAAGAGAGAATTAGCAACTGATGAAAGCAAATGAGTAATAAACCAGGCAATAATACAAAATCTGAACATACATAAAAAGCTTAATCACAATCTATATATAGATTTTACATCTCAGGAACATAATGTAACATTTTGCTTCTCAAGGGCATCTCTGACTCTTATAATACCCTAGATTTGTGCTAGAAATCCAGATTCTCTAACAGTTTATTCCTTGCAATAAAGCAAGTTACCTCATTTGAAATATTACCACAATTCTCATTTAAAAGATACAAAACTCTCAGATGGAAGGGAGTAGGCATTTTCACTGGTGCCACAAAGGTGACTGTCACAGGCAGGAGGAGCACAGGCTCCTGCAGTGTTCTTCAGTAAACTGCACATCCATCCTGAGCATATTCCTGACCAGCTCTGGAGAAAGTGGTCAGTGAGTCCTCTCATCCTTCAGTCCTGACCCAGTGGTGTGTGGCAGTGCAGATGCCCTGCTCTCACACAGCAGTGAGTGAGGGAGTCTGGCAAAAGTACTGACTGTGCAAAAAGTCTCTTCTCCCCTGTGAAGCTTTGGAGAGATTGCATTTTTTCTTCAAAGTGTAATGTAAACATTTCCCTGTAGCTTTTATTTAATAAGAGATAAGTTTTTGCAGCACTTACTGCACTGAGCCCTAGAATAGACATTACTTCATAAAATGGCAGGAAAGATGTGCCCTGTTCTCCCTTACCTAGATATTTTGGGGGCAGCTAAGACAGCAATGTTTCTTAAATCATTATTCTGCTCAGTAAAAAATTCTGTTAATCATAAGCAAATATTAAAACTGCTGTACAGTACTGTCCAATGCTCAAACATAATAAATTCAAGCAGGAGTAATGCAAAAAAAGGGCTACATCCCCTCGCGTGGCCAGGAGAACAGGACTTGCAAAAAGAAAACTAAAAGGAAGCTTGAGAGGTATAAACCTGTGAAAATACATATGTAAGGCCATATGGTTGCTGTCTATAAATACACTAAGAGGAAAATGAAAATTTTAAGCTAAAGAACAGTGTTGGCAAAAAAAAAAATACTGGTATAAAGCGGCCATTAATAAAATTGTGCTAAAAGTTGTGCAAGCCTTGGAGAGCAGCACAGCTCTGGAATGGTCTTCAGGAGGAGGGGGGAGAAAAAATGTGACTACTTTTAACATGGGGTCAGTTAAGTTTATGAAAGGAATTCCTGTGCACTGTGTAAAGTAATTGCCATGATAATAAGAACATCTTAAATTTCAGTACTTTATTTATTTAGTGTCTTTGATCAAAAGCACTTATATAAAAATGCAATAATGAAAATTCCTTTCAACCAGTACAATAAAAGTTGGAATTCCTTGGGTATTTCATTTTCTTTAGTGAAATGCAATTTGAACATGTTCCAGTCAATATTTGCAGAAATGACGGAACATCAGCCCTACAAATAATAATAAATCTAGAACATAAGATAAGCTATAGGTTATTGAAATGATGTGTTGCAAAGTTAAATCCAACCTTTGCAATGTTTAACAAGCAACAGCTGAGGGAATTTGTGGCTCTTTGGCAAGTCTACAGGTCTCACCAAATAACTGCTCTCAAAGTCTCTGGTTTTCAGCTCTGTAAATCTACTGTTTATGAAATTCAGGTAAAACCACTGCTTGGAGCTGAGTTCTCCAAAGGCCCCACCCAGCAGAGTTTGCAGTGTCCTTTGCATCAGTGAGAGATTTGCAACCCTTGCAGCATGTAACCCGACTGGAGGGCACGTGCTGCCCATGCCCACCTCTTCCTCCCCTTGTTTCTTTCCCCGTGTTTCAGTTCAAGGGGTGACCTCGCGCTGCTCCGTGTGCCAGGTGGCTGGGTGCGCGTGTGTCACAGCTCACACATGCGCAGTATGAATCGGGGACAGCAATGCTGAATTTATGCCTGGGAGTCTGCATAAATGGAATTGAACCGGCCCTATGCAGAAGTGTAAACCTTAGCAAAATGTTTCAAGTTTGGTCACCAAATTCAGGTTATCTAGGTCTAACTTCAGGACCACATGTATGACACTTTCAGTCTCAGGGATAGCAAGCAATGGCTTGCCAACTGACTTAGAACTTGTGCAGGCTGTGTTGAAAATTGGTAAGGTTGGAAATGACCTTTTCCCCTCACACTTCATGGCCTAAATCAGCTACTGATGTGAGGGGAGGGTGTCCAACAGAAAGGGTGGTGGGGGGGAGAGTAAGTTATTTCACACTGTGTATTCTGTCACAGATCACTGGGCAAACAGAAATGTGATCCTCAGCTTTCTGTTTTTTAAGTGGAGCTGATAGGGCATCAAAGGATCCAGACCAAGCTGCAACCTCTAATAGCCTTAATAAGGCAATTACCTATTCATACCATATTTGCCTTATTTTGTTGGTTGAGCCACCCTTTGTCGTGGTTTAAAAACACAGTCTTCCAAAAAGACAATTTCAGCTTTAGTATTTTTTCTTCTAACTAGATTGAATTTAATTTCTGCACCTCTCTAGTCTTCACAAGTAAAACTAACAAAAAAATTAATTGGAACATTATATGTAATGAATGGGATGGAAAAGCAGTAGGATCTGAAGAGAAATGCTGTTCTGCCCACTGAGTGCCAGTAGTTTGTTTTCTAGCACAGATGTAAAAAGAGGGCAGCAGTGGCTTCTGCCTGTTGACTACAAGTGTTTGATCTCCGTACAATTGCGTAAGGGAGGAGACTGAGCACTCAAAAACCAGCTCTATGCAGATTCATTATTACTCTTGAAATCGCATATGATCTGTTCTCTCGTGTTTTGTTTTGTTTTTTTAAACAAGTACATGCCAGCCCTTGAAAGGATTAAAATTGACTACATCACAGAAGTGGGTAGGAGGATCTACCCACAGATAGTGCAGTATTAAGCTCTTTATCTGTTCCCTTCTTAGGCCCTTATACTCTCCCTTAGCTGTAAATTGAGAGTTTCTTTCTGAGTGAAAATGGTTTTTTGCTTAGAGATTCCTTGGCAGAAATTTTAATGGAATTGTCTGTCATCAACACCTGCTTTCAAGCTTTATCGATAAAATTAGATTTTATATCTCAGCATCACATATGGCATCTTTATAATTAGTCTTTTTGCAGTATATGAATGTCAGTTCCTAAAATGCTGCCTGTACTGTTCATGTGGGAATATTTCACTTCATTAATCAAATCCAAGTTTTTCATTGGTGCTTCTAATTGTTTAAAGCCCACATCTTCATGTGTCTAATCTCAAAACCTTTTTGATGCACTGATACAACACATTTGCAGCTGCACTGGGACCAAGCTGTGAGCAGATCCCTTGTGGAAATGGGATTCTAGAGCTCTAGATGGGCCTCCATTCCTAGACTCACTTGTGGAAATGTAGTCTTTGAATATGTAGCTATCTGAAAATGAGGGGTGGCCTTTTTTAGAGGGCTCAGTATTGATCTAATCTTGGAAACAGAGGAAGGTCTATGCCCAGAAGATTCTGAAAAATATTATTATACATAACATTTTAGAACAAGAACACACAGATTTTAACACACATACTCAAGAATAAGCAAACTCAGAGGTGTTTTCAGGCAAGTGATGATCAGAATTACTGGTCAGTAATACAGGTAGAAGTGTTCCCGTGTCAGTGACTCACAGGTGGCTGTTTCAAACTGTTGTAAAATGCATGGGAAGTCTTATACTAGTACAGACACCAGTATAGGTGATAGGTGATTTTTTCATTACTCATGTCACAGCTGAGAATTTTTATTCCACTTGGGTACATTCATTTCTCTGCTCATATGAGAAAATGCACAAAGCAACAGATCATCACTATACCACTAGTAGTAATGGCATGAAAGTGGTAACATTTGTATGGAAAAGTCAGCATTTAGTACCCTTATGCAACAGGATGAAAATGTGCAAACTGTTAACTTGTAATAGAAATGTCTTTAGTTTCTCAAGTGCAAAGTGCAGTGTCAGCAACACTATCTTCTAGGAAAAAAAAAAAAGACAAATAGGAAAACATTTATAAACATAGCTCTTGATAGCTCTCATGCAAATTGCTGTCAGACTTGTACACTAATGCAGTGAATCATTCAGGCTCAGCTCACTGGGGGTACTCCTGCTCATATTGGTCAGACTGGCCATAAGGGATTTAACTTTATAAGCATAGTAGTCCCTCAAGTTGACAGATGGAACTTCTTTCATGCCATCACCAAAATCACAGCTTCTCATGGCACTCTCTAACTGCTTCTGACGCCTATAGAAGTGGGAGAATTTATTAAAGATCAGTGTAATGGGAAGCACTACCACTAGGATACCAGCTAGGATGCATGCAGAGGCCGTCAGCTTGCCAGCAGTGCTCCCTGGCACCACGTCCCCGTAGCCAACTGTGGTCATGCTAACAGTAGCCCACCACCAACAGGCAGGGATGGTGGCTAACCCCTCATTGTCTTCTTTCTCAATGGTGTAAGCCACTACTGAGAAAATGGAGATGCCAACAGAGAGGTAGAGTAAAAGAAGCCCCACCTCTCTGTAGCTGTACTTCAGAGTGGCTCCAAGAGACCTGAGACCTGTGGAGTGTCTAGCAAGCTTTAATATGCGGAAAATCCTCATGAGTCTCAGGACTTGTGCAACTCTGCCTAAATTTGCTAAAGTTGGACTACTTTCCACCACCAAGTTGACAATTAATGTAATATAAAATGGAAGGATAGACATTAGGTCAATCAAATTCAGGGCATGCTTGAAAAATTTTAAAAAGTCAGGAGCTACTGCAAATCTTGCCACCAGTTCAAAAGTGAACCATGCAATACCAAAATGTTCCACGATTTCAAAGCGAGGGTCTTCCTCGGTGTTCCCGTTGCTGTCAACAATCTGGAAGTCTGGGAGGCTGTTCAGGCACATGGTCACAATGGAGCCCAACACCACAACTATGGAAAGGACACTGAAGATACGGCTTAAAACCGAGTACCCAGGATTATCCAAAGCAAGCCAGAGCTGCCTCCTGATGTTTCCAAAGGGTTGTTTGTCAAATTTAGAGGCATCATTGTAGAATGCCAAAATCTCATCAAAAGAAGATGTCGTACTTTCCTGGTCACTTTGTTCCTCCCATTTCTCTTGGTCTGGCTCCATTTTCCTCCCATGGTAGCTATAACTGCAGCAGGAGTCTATAAAGAATTCATTGATTCCCCAGTATTCAATCTCCTGGCTGAAAGAAAAGACACAGAGTTCACCCATCACATGGAGCTTGCCAGTGTTATAAAAATGTAGCACGTAAGGAAAGAGCTCGGGGTTCCTGTCAAAATAAAATTCATTCTTGGTGTCATCATAGTCATCACAAAGCTCCAGTATTGACTCCTTTGAATGGCAGCTCAGCAATTTGCCCAGCCTGGTCTCGGGGAACCTTAATAATGTGTTGGATCTCATCTTTTTCTTAAAGCCTCCAACGTTGATGCTGATCTCATTGTCTTCAAAATTCGCTTCAGATAATGTCCTCAGACTCTGCCCTGTCATAGTGAGCTCCTTCCAAAGGTGGGTAGGGAATGAAAACCTAGGATACAATTACACAGAAAGTTGGCAAAATGAACAAATCTACAGCATGTTCACCTACTGATGTTTCATTTTCTTTCTTTTCTTTTTCTCTTCTTTCTTTTCTTTTTCTCTTCTTTCTTTTCTTTTTCTCTCTCTCTCTCCTTCTCTCCTTTCCCTCGCCCCCCTTTTCTCTCTGTTCACTCACTTTCCCTCCCTTTTTCTCCCTCTGCCCCCGTTTCTCCCCTCTTCCCTCTTTTCTTTTCTCCCACACCCCATGAAGACCTTGAGGGAGGCTCCTTTGTTCCCGCGGCAGGCTCCTGTCCCTCCCCTCGCCCTTCACCTGGGCTGCGGCTGTTGCTCCCACCAAGCCCCCGTTACTCACGGCCTTTGTGCCACCGGGGCCGCGCGGACCTTTCATTCCCTCCCGGCCCCGCCACACAAGGAGCCCCCGCCGCAGCCCGGGGTCCCGTCCCACGCCGCGCCTCAGGGGCCGGAGCTCCGCTCCGACCCGCGGGGAGCCCGCCCCGCCCGGCCCGGCCCCGCGGCTCTCCGCGCCCGCCCTACCTGCTGCCTCAGCGGCCGCGGCGCCCCGCCGGCGCGCCCTGCTGCCCCCGGCCCCCGCCCGCCATCGCCGCCGCCCGCGGGGGCCGCCAGGGCTCGCCTCGCTGCCGGGGCTGCCGGTGCCGGGGGAAGCCGGTGCCGGTGTGGTGCTGCTGCCGGGGGATGCCGGAGCTGGGGGATGCCGGTGCCGGGGGATGCCGGTGCCGGAGAGGTGCTGCTGCCGGGGGATGCCGGAGCGGGGGAATGCCGGTGCCGGGCAGGGCAGGGCAGGGCAGGGCAGGACGGCCCCGCCGGCCGCGCGGTGCTGAAGGGACAGCGGCCGCCCCGCTCAGCGGCGGGAGGCGGCGGCACGCCCGCTCGTCATGGCGACGACCCCCGCGGCTGCCGCCCGCCCCCGCCGCTCCCACCTACCCCCGGCCCGACCCCGCCGGCAGCGATCGGGCCGGGTGGGTGGCCACCAGGGCTGCGGAGGGGCGGCCCGGCGGAGCCGGTGTGCCGGAGGTGCCTCCGCTCGTTCTTGCCCCCGCGCACCGGCGGCAGCGGCGCCGCAAACTCGGGTTTCCTCCCCTCCGCGATCCTGCTTCACGCCGGCTCCGAGCGGCACAACCTCCCGAGGGGAGACGGGGGACGCCCACCCACGGCCGCAGTGGCTCCGAGCACCCGCGGTCCTTCTGCCGAGGGGCGTCGCCCGCCCCTGCCCCTCTCCCCCTCACCCTGCCGGGAAGGGCCCGGGGCAGCGGGCGCCGCTATCCCGCCCGCCCATGGCACCGGCGGGTCCTCGCTGTGGCGCCTGAGCAGGGTCCCTGCCGAGACTGACAACAGGAAAGACGGGGACACCAAAAGTCAGAGCAATTCGGTGTGAGGGCAGCGGAGCTGCGTGTTGCAGCCGCTCGCCACCCCCTCAGTCGCCTGCTGGGAACCCCCGACCCCCGCACACAGCCCTTCAGCCATTTCGGGGGGGAAATCGTGAGCGGCGGCACCTCGGGCGGCGGGGGTGGGAGGGCTGACCTTGCGCTGCTGCTGCTCTTGGTGGGTGCACTTTTCGTGCTCGCACATGCAGTAGTGTCCAGCTACATGGGCAGCGATGGCAGTGTCCCTGCCCACGCTGCAGGCGACTAGGGAAGAAATCTCCCCTCTGTTGCTGATCCCGGGCTGAGGCCGAGTTTCTCGGGGGGAAGCCTGATCGTGGCAATCCCTGCGCACCTGACCCCGCCCTGAGCAGGGCCGGCTGAGCAGAGCACAGATGCTCCGAGACAGGTGCTTTGTGCCGGTATAATCCACATCGTCTCCTGCCAGCTGCCTTGTGACCCCACGCATCTGAAGTCCGGCTCCCAGAGATGCACTGCTGTCAGTGCTTTGTAGGGTGAGGGTGTACAGGGGGATGAAGACTCCTCTCTTGCTTCCCCCCAGCCCTGTCAGAGCCCTGAGCACTCCAGCCCTATGCATCACCTTCGGCTTGTTCCTCAAAGCCTCGGTGAGGAAGAGAGGTTATAACGTCCAAGCCCAGCCACAGGTAAACCTCATTTACAAGGAACCCCCAGTATTAATGGTCAGCCCTTTAAGAGCCTAGGAAACTGAGTACAGACATGAAATGGGGCAAATAAGTCCTGGTGTAGGCCACTGGCCAGGTCTCCAAAAGCCTGCTCAGCTTTCCTACCTGGGGTGTCGTGGGCACCCCACCATATCCCACCAAGGCTGGTGCGTTGTGTGGCCACATTCCACACCTCCTGGGATACTCCCAAGGCGGTGTGCGGGGACCCACAGCGTCCTCAGCCCCCCGGAGATGCTTCCGACGATCCGTGCTTCAGGGATGCTACAGATGGTCTCTCTGCTCGCCTTTTCTCGGGTGGTGTGTGTTTTTGCTTTGCTCTGCTGCTGGTGAGTGGCTCCTGCCTCCCTTTCCTACAGATGCCCTGGGTCAGGGCTCTGTGTCCCAGCATGCGTCACTGCGTGTCTGGTGACATCCCAGGGGACGCTGAATCCACACGGAATTACGGACACCAGGCTGCTCTCCTGGCCAGGGAAAGTGCTGCGCCTCTCAGCCCGGTCCCTCCAGCTCTTCCCCTGCTGGGGAGTGGCACGGAGGAGACAGAGACTGCACGTAGCAGGGAGGAGGCTTTGCAAATGTAGTGGCACCTGCCCTTTTGCCTGTACCAGCGGTGTTTCATGCCCAGAGAGACAGCTGTCCTGCATCCCAGAGGCACTGTAGCTGTTGTGGTCGTTCGTGAGAGCCGCCTCCTCTCAGAGCTCTGCTGGCGAGCTACTCATTGGGGAGCTCTAATTATACTGGCTTTTAATGCCTGGGGCAAGGGGTAGCAGGACACAGGACTGAGAAACCACCACGTCAAAATTTTTGAGTTGGATGCCCCACCACGTTCCCCAGGGCTTGGATAAATCACGAAACTTCTCTATTGTCATTTCCCACTCACTCTTAGGAGAACAAAAATAACTCACATTCCTCAGTAACATTACAAGGAATAGTGAGCTGCTGCTGGAAGTGCATTCAAGCAATGTCCATGCTTTTCCAGCAGCTCTGCTATCCTGGGTGGCTGGTGGGGGCTTTAAATATATTGAAACATCCTCAGCAAACTTGTAAAAATATAAATTACTTTTGTCTCTTATACTTAAATTAAAGATTTTTTTTCCCTAATGCTGCTTTAGAATAAACTAAGTGGAGATATATTTGGAGGATTTCCAAGCTTTTATGGATTGTTCTCACTTTCTAAGTCACTTGGCTGAGAAAAAAGGTTATAGGCAGTCTCATTACTCATTTATCAATCTCTGATCTTGGAAAAATTGCTGGTCACTTTTCTAAGTTGCATTTTCTCATTAAAAAACACATAGGGATACAGCTCTCACTGGTCTCATATAACTGCTCCTGTAATTAGGGCTAATAGACTCAGTCCAAGCATTTTGCTAATAAGGCAATAAGGCTAAAATGATTCCAGCACCCAAATTAGTAATCCAAAATCCATCTGATTTTTTTTTAAATTTTTTTTTTTTTTTTTTTTTGCAAAGGGCACACTCTGCTCCATGGACATATAAGAGTTACTGTTACTGACCTAATATTTTTGCCTTTCCCAGCAGTAAATACAGAAAAAATTGCTGTAAAAAACTGGTGTAATCTGAGGCAAAAGATATGTCAAAAGAAATCAGGTATGTCATTTTTGCACAAAATGAGCTTGTGATGTGTCAGATAAGAGCACATTTTGGGATGCACTGGTAATACACCAAATAAATACAAAACAACACTTTGTTTACAGTGTCTTGTGGACATTTCTTGGACTGTAGAGAATGCAAGACCAGTGCTGAGGTGGGGCTGGGCTGGGAGCATAAGGAAATGTGAAAGAATTGCCTGTTGGAGTGGGGAGATGAATGAGTGATTCATATTACCCTAGGGCAATGTTACAAAAACTAAACTAACTTTGGGTTTGGTGGTTATAGTTTCTGACTGAGAGTGTCAGAAAGAGAGACAGGACTTATTTAATTGGTACACGTGGTACCACGTTATTTAAGGAATATGAGAAGGTGCCAGTGCTGCGTGAAAACACGGTGTGGTACAGGTGCCCTTCAGGGCTGGGGAGACACAGCAACTGCAGTGTTTGACAACACACCCTGCATGGGGTTTGTGCTGACCTGAACTGTGAGGGAATGTGGAAATTATTGCCATCCTCCTGACTGACTCAGTGTAGGAAGCTGCTGCCTGAGGAGCCATGTCCTCAGACAACATCCCCTGCCCAGTCCCTGTTGGCTGCCCTGCCACCACTGCAGTGAGCCAACACTGCTGGGGACATGTGGCACTCTGTCCTGCAGGCACGACACTGCATCTGAGATGCATTGTCACCTTCGGAAGAAATGGAATTGCTCCAAAACTACTAAATCTACAAGTGTTAATGAAATACTCAATAGGGTCTAAAGGAAGTTATGGGACCAAAGTCAGTAGTTTTATTGGCATAGTGGATATGGTGGATTCACTTTGAACTTGAGGACACTACCATCTATTACACTGAAGGTAGAACTTTAGTCTGAACTTCATATTTCCTGAAAGGTTTCCCTCTGTCCCCAGGGCCAGATTCAAATGTACATTCTTGTTGACTATTTCCTTTTGTTCCAGACAGATTGGAAAATCCCGGAGTCTTAATGTGTTAGTTTAAGATCAATAGGTAAGACCTGTTTTTCTTTCCAAAGATGGCTGAGACCCTTCTGTGTGGGCATTTCTATTGTCACAACTGTTAACTGTGGCCAGTGAGTAAATACTGGCCACAGTATTTAAAAGAAGTAAAAATAGCTTTGCATATCATGCTCACTAGATACTAGAAAAGGACTGTTGCAGAGCATCGCCAAGTGTATAAGAATGAAGTTGAAAATGTATTTAAACCAATTCATAAAGACTACATCCATTTCTGGATATTTATCCAAATAATCTGAGTACAGCCTCAATTTGA